ATCTCACGATCCCAACCTGCAATCACGACTCCATTCCAAGAATCGAATATGATTCCTGATGGAATCAGAATCATGGAATCATGTTGGGGACAGGCCACGGTTATGTAGACTACTCACAAGCCACCTATTCCAGTCCATCAGCAGCCTGGACAATATTCTGTGAGGAATCCAGCCCTGCTTTTGACTATATTGTAGAAGACTTCTGTATGATATCGCATCAGTTGATCGATTAATGTATATTCTTAAATTCACAATTGTATTTGTAATAAACTACTTTTTTCATTGCCACATGTTGTATGCAAATCGTACCAAGTTGTAAGTGGCACAGCGGTAATACGTTTTCACAGCGCATCTGCCAGAATACAATTGCAGCACTTGAATCTATCACACATTCAATCTGTCGTGGGCCTAAACATTCCTCCGGCTCCGCTGGGAGGAAGCGTGCTGTGGACGGTGCTTACCGGGGAGCGCGCACGCGTAATACACTGCTGCCCGGCAAGAGAGGCCATGCGGTGGGACCATCGGGAATGCGCTGCACTCGCTGCAATCACTGTAACAAACAACCGGCTCTTTTGCCTGCTCAGGATACATCTCACACGCTCTCGTTTCATCATCCCTGCAATGAAGAATAAACATTTCGGACATTGCTACTTTGTGCACTGTTGAAATGGTAAATATGCGCCATTTCAAACCTAGCTGCATTGCGCATTTGAAACTAGTTAATAAATATATAATTATACAATATGGTATGATGTATTTGGAGGGCATGGTGGAGCAGTGGTTAGCGCTTTGCACTATAAACCCAGGTATATGAGTTGGATACCCGGTCATGGATATCATCAGCCACGGATAGCCGAACCAGGGTTGGATGTCGCCTTCAACAATCCGCACTGACCAGAATGGTGAAGTATGGTCAAACAACCCACATGGCCGGCGCAGCTTGGGGAGGCATTTATCCAGCAGTGGACCGACAAAGGACTGCAAATTATTTAGACCTCTCTTCCGAGAAACGTGTAATCCAAGCAGTCTAATCTGATAAACTAAAGCTACGTTGTTGACACTAAATTATGTATGAATTGAATCGGACCCATTGGCCCATTACCGTTGAAGAAGAAAAGCCATTAAGTACTATCCCAGTAACAATGCCACGTTGGGCCAACTTCAAATGTTTACTGTGACACTACACATGCCATGCAGGTTTGCGTAGTTATTTAAAATCCAAACAAGGTGCACAACCTGCAGAAAGAAGGCAATGAAAAGGCACAAGGCCCTGCACTAACAGAGCTCAAGGCATGGCCGGCACTGTTTCACGCGCAGGCCGGCGTTTTACACACTAGGCCGGCGTTTTTTACACACCGGCTGGAGTAGAATAATCGCCGACACCGGACTAGGCGGAGTGCTCCCTTGCCGTGGTTTTACTCGGGTGGGAGCAAAAACTCCGATTGAATTGCAGCTCCGGGTGGCACAGCACAATTTATAGCCCGATGCGTGAAATCTATTTACGTACGTGGATGTACAACGTTGCAGTTCTATTCCTGCATTTGAAACAAATAATAAACACGTGCAGCCGGGGCTAGCGGCAGCGTGGTGTTTAGCATCCTTGCGTTAGGAGACCGGACAAACCGAGACTTGGGTCCCCCCCATTCACAAACATCCACTGGCCAAATGGTGAAATATGGTCAAGGCAACCCCATGACCAATGCCGTATGGGGAGGACTTCATCTGGAGTTGAATTCACGAAGGGCTGTAAATTATTATGCAACATGTAGGCCTCTCTTCCAAGACACTTGATGCCACAGTGGTCTGGTGTGTCTATGCTTAAATGAAGGCTGCGTGGTGCTCATTAGCACTCGTTACCCTGACACATCGGTGGAAATTCCACATTCCTATGGCGGTGATCCCAGTTCTTCATTTGGACAGCACAGAAATATTCACGCAAAGTGGTACGAATTTTATCAACCTCAGGTGTTAATAATGAACTTTGGGGAGGGGCGGGAGAGGTGACTGTCATCTTTACAGCTGCCATACTTCAATTTTACAGCTCTGTCAACCCACCGCTGGATGATAGGGATCCTCGTGCCATGCCTCTCGTTCATAATTCACCATGCCGGTCAGAAAGGGCCGGTGCAGGTTGGTGGGAGGTCCAGAATCGACCCAGATATCATTCACAAATAATATTTGTCATGGCCAGAAACCACACTTCTACTGAAGCAAATGCTATGGTGATGCTGCATTGGCAGTTGTGCACAATGAGCACAACAACTCGCTTCCATCTATAATCCACAAGGGCCATCGCCCACAATGCCGTCTATTATATTTATTTTTCCTTTTCATGGACCCGGTGTTGTTGCGTGCACAACCCGAGGCTATTATACTCCACAAGCAACGCCAAAACAGGGCACAGGGTGGAGAATAACGAGGAACGATGAATAACCTGGCGGCGCATCTCGCGGAGCGAGCGAGAGGCCAGTGCAGGGGCAGCGGTGTCTCCCAGCGCTCGCTCCCTCGGTTCTCTTCCCTTTCGCGGCGTCACGTCGACAGGCCCCGACGGCAATTATTTTACCAACAAGATTTTCCCCGAGTAGGGAGGTGTCAGAAAAGTGATTTTATGGTTGTCACCTGACGATGATCGTTGGCAAATTGTGTCGTTAAAAATAGTCACCGCCGTCTCGAGACAAAGCGGCACAAAAAATTTGCACAGAGGGCGTGCACACACACGCATGCATACAATTATTCACGATCACAACTCGCAGTGACTCTCGTTGCCAAGCCATCATGGGGATTGTTTGACCATGCTTCATCACGCTGCTCAGTATGGAATAGGGAAGGGTGCGAGAGGGCGGGGCTGAAGACGGAGTTCAGATATTGAGGAATCGAATTCAGGGTGCCGGTTTCAAAGCGCAGTATTAAGCCAACCACTGAATCAACGGTCCAACCGATACAATATTCATACATGTAAAATTCACACTTGTAATAATGTCATACTTTATAATATAATACCGTACCCTATGAATTGTGGAATCACACAAATGTGACCTCCATCTCTAAACGCTGTACAAATTGGAGTGACGCACATCGAAGTAACATGGTAGGAATTTGCTTCTCCGTGTGGGAGGCAGTGAAGAGTCGACGGCTTCCCGGCAAGGGGGGAATGAAGGCGGCAGGGCAGCGACGTGAATGCGAGCGATTCACAGGGAGCGAGAGGCAGCAATTTGCACAAAACACTTGTAAAGAGGTCATCTTGTTCCTTAACAGCACCCAAACAAATCGTGAACATGCACCAGCCAGAGGGGTAAACTTCACCGGCTGAACTCCAGTGAAAACGCAATCGCTCTAAATTTCTTCCGCACCAAATTGTATCACCAATCCAAGCGTGGTTTCTTTACAAACATTTTTATTTCCGTCCCCATCTAAATATTAAACAGCACCGTGTAATTAAATGCTTGCAGAGGTGAAAATAAGTTTAATTCAGTGCGGATTAGCGGTTGACATTTCATCTCATGGAAGGGGTATTGAATGCAAGGGTAAAAAGAGGGAAACAAGAGAATGAAGACACAGGGAGCCGGCTGCTTCTTATTGCCCAGAGGGAGCAATTAGCCTGCGATCACGCTGCTCCGGAAGATGGGCAGAGCGCGCGGGTGTGGGAAGAGAAAGCAACGACTGATATAGGACACGCCTTTTTACAAAATGGCACACTTCATAAACATGGCAACGAGTGCAATCATATTTTTTTTTGCGAGCGCTGATGACAAAAATGGCTCAAGTTAAAACGAGCACCCTACAGGGCCTTGTGTATTCAAATAATAAACTAAAGGTTTTACAGCTCGCTATTATGGAGGTCATCGTGAGCGGAGCCGAGCTCGCGGTGGGCGCTCTGCCCACAATCGCCGTCGTCGTCATCGTCGTCACGTTTACAGATCTCCTTCAACACAAAGTGACAGCGCTATCGCTCTGCCAAGGGGAGGCCCAGTTTCTCTCACTCTCAACGGCTGGATGGCCTTGTATGGAAGAGTTCAATGGGCATTCCAAGACGTTTGGAAATAACTTCAAAGCATTCGGCGAGAGGACAAAACGGGGCTCATGGTGTGCGACTTTTCGAGCTCGTAATCAGACGACACGTTACTCTGTTTGCATCGGGCCGTAAACGCCACACGGTACGCAAAGTGCGCGTTAAGATGAGAGCATAAAACGGGCAATTAAAACGTTCAAGTCTTTGGCACAAAAGGAAACAAAGGAGAACTTCATCTCGCGTTTAATAAGGTCACGACTCCAGCATTAACATTCCAACGCGTGACTATTTTGAGCCGTTTCAGTCGATCGCCGACTGCTGACGCTCGCAATTAATTGGGCAGGAATAGAGGAGCACAAAAAACAACAACAAAGGAAATGCAAATCAATCGATTGGACGCGAGTGATCTAGCATCAACAATTTCAATAGTGAATCAATGCCTCGGCTTGTTATGGAAGAATGCAGGGAATTGGTGGTTCACTTTATTGCACAGATGCCATTTTCTTTCATTACTCTAGGCCGGGTCAGCAAAGATCGTTAGCTGCAAATGTAATAACATTGCCGATAATTATCAACAAATTACGCACAATTCAAATGTTGTTATTTTGAAAACCGTAGCCGCTAACCTATTGGTATAATCACATACACAGACACAGCCCCACTAATAGCCTTCATGGACCATTGTAGCAAGCTCCGTTAGCGAATACCTATTAAGACCTGAACAGCGCTAGAGGGAGCGTTGTGGCCAGCACAAAATCCAGCTACCTAACTCTGCCCTGTGGTGGTGTACACACGACACCACGACCTAGAGGAGGCCCACGACCGGTGGTTCCGATTCTTGCCACCGACGATCTCAGGTTGCCAGGTTCACAGCGCACGTTTACCCTCTGTGCACCGCGGCTAATCCCCTCATATAGCAAACGGACGGAAATGCCCTCAAACGTGCGCTCGCACACGTGCAATCATTCGGTCCCGCAGACTCGGCACTCACCGTATCCTGTGGCCGTGCCGGCGTAGGGCCCGTCCACCGTGCTGCGCGTCTCCTCGGCAAGCCTCTTCACGTACTGCTTGCTGAGCTGCAGGATCTGCTCCTGGAGCTCGGCGCTGGTGGGCCGGTGCGCCGAGTGCTGCTGGATCGTGAAGTGCAGCAGCATCATCCCCCAGATGAAGCCGAAGGTGACCAGGAAGAAGCCCAGTTTGTGAGAAGACAACTTGCGCCAGGGAAACATCGCGCCTCGGATCGATTCCCTCCCGGCGGCCGGGAGGCGCCGCTGCCGACACAGGCTGGGGATTTATTGAGATTTTTTCTCTCCTCTGGGGAGCGAGCGAGGGGACGCGTCCGGCCGTCACCGCCGCGACATGACGGCTTTCGACGACGACGCCGCCGCCGGGTGTCTTCACAACGAGCGGGCGACGTCTCTCATCTTCGGCGGTTTGTCTTCAGGGCCGTTCACTCTGAGGGGAGAGAACAGGACGGGCAGGATTCAGGATGACAAAATATAAGGTGTGCTCAGAGCCTACAACTTTGCTCAGGACAAATACTAATTTGATTTGAACACAAAGTGAAAACTATTTAAACTTAAAAAACACTTTGTTCTGAACAGAAGGTTTTAGGAACCCGAAGCTGGCTAAAATGACCATGGCCAGGGACACAGATTGTTCACCTGACATCATCTCTCACCATGCCTCACAAGCGAAAATTTTGGAGGATACAATGTCAATCCACTGCTGGACGAGGACTTCCTAATTCCATCCCCGCAGTCCTGCGATGTCACTCCAGGGGGATTCATTATATCAGTGAAAGTTCAAAGCCACCGACGTTGCACAGGGCTAATTTTCTAATGGACAAGAATCGTTGGCGACTTTCCCCAACGCAATATACAACGCGATTTATAATAGCGATTTCGAAAATGCAACCACACCTGACAAACAACGCCGTACACAAAGTGGGGATATTTATTTTACGGATCGACGCAATCGGTCGAATGGCTGCAGAGAAACAGGAAGGGGCTCGAGCCTGGACTTGAACAGGGGGCAGGGAGTGGACAGCACTGATGGCGGGGGGGGGGGGGGTCCAGACAACGCGCACTGAGAGACGGCCTCTTCATGACAATGCAGGCAACAAACAGTATGGCTAGTTATTCTTAGGTTTTTTCGGTAAAGTCACGTAGGTAAAAAAATTAAATTAATAAAAGTTAAATAAAAATAAAATAAAAATCACGACGTATCACTTCATACAGCTATCGTGCTGTGACAGTTCCACCTGAAGACGGAAGCTTGTGTTGCCTCCGAAACGTCGTGATTTTTATTTTATTTTTATTTTACTTTTATTAATTTTTATTTTTTACCTACGTGACTTTACCGAAAAAACCTAAGAATATGAATCCTTGCCGTCACGAAAGCTTCAAATCTAGAAAGAAGTATGGCTAGTGCCGACTAAACTCCCATCAGACCGGAACAAACGTGCTCATGAGTAATGCCAGTGTAGACACACGTGTGATAGCTAGGAGGGAAGTTGGTAGCAGGTCATCCTTTGTACAAAAACATGGGGTTGGGTTGGGGAGGTAAAAATTACTATTTTGTAATGGATTCAGGACTTGCACAACATTTTTCAAATAACCTATAATGGAGGCACAGGATACTGGCAAGGCCAAACAAAGCACACTAAGCAATCATCTAGCGAGGAAAACCAGGATATTGATTATCCGAAACTGGCTTGCTTAGAGGAAGTACATTAGGAGAGATGGAAAAACCAATGAGGCTGTACTAGTTTACCGCCGGGACATCAGCGTTGCAAAACTCGTGCACGGAAAAAAATGCAGGGGGTTAAATGCTCTCGGAGAACTTTTAAACTGCCCTGTAATTTTTTTCTCAAGTATTTGTGCGAGCAGTCCAAATCTCAACGGCGCTGATCGACAATTGCAACATTTCACGGTAAAATCATAACATGTTCAAGAGCACCTGAGCTTTATTGGTGAATCGTTTCAATTAGCTTCCCCACAAACCAAAGTAAATAATGGCTGCAAATACAGAACTTGTATAACAAACACAAAACCAAATTGCCATAGATAATCATCACAAACATTCTTAAAACACTCGCCTGCAGCGTAATCCCCGAAGCCCATTTGCCTCCGATGCCTGAGAAATTGCAGCCTTTTAGAAGATGCCGCAACCATGCACGTACAAGCACAAGAAATCAATAGCGTTGTAATTGATACTTTTAAATGTGAAATCCATGTGTGTCTGAAAGCTAAACAATCAAAAAAGTGTTGAGCAAAAGTGCAGAGAATTGATATTTTCAGTCTGGTTCGATGGGGATGTGGGGGACCGGTCAAAGGTTTAGAAAATAGGATATTGAAAGCGTGTCCAGATGCACTGTTATTATTACTTTATTTTTCGATAGTTTCCTCCAAATGTCAATATTCATTTAATATAATTAGCGCATGAATATAGAGCGAACACTAGCTGAACACGATTTTTTGGGAATCTCATTCTGAAAACTTTACTGACCATTTATCAAGTCGCGAATCGCACAAGGAAACACCCCCTCCGTCGCGAGTTCTTTACGATGGCAAAAAAGCGGCGCGATTGAAAGCACGCACGCATCGCTGGGAACACCTCCGCAAAGCAGGAGCACAGCGTGCGTTTACAAAGGCTCGGCGACAGAAGGGGGGAGCCTTTTTCCAGGAATGATTGCCGAATAAATGGTTGGGCCCTGCCATTTCACGCAGAATTACCAACGAATACTTCTGAATGGGTCGCTTTAGGCCACACAAGGAAGCTCATTGCATCTGCAACCATGCGGATTGCAATACACCTCGCAGTTTTGCTCTCGCCTCCGGGACAACCACCAACCGCTGGCATTTTGAAATCTCGATAAGAGCGATTGACTGCTTGTGGCACACACACGGGGGGAGGGGGACTCGTGCCAAGTCACCAGTCCATCCGAGGTCGATGCTGTTCAAACACGCCAACGCACAAGCTACTGGAAGGCGGGCAGGCTCCCCGTGCCGTACGACCACCGATGCAATCACGTTTCTGTAAGATCGATTATTCTCCACCCCTTTAATAGAATTTGATTGAAAAGCCAACTGTTCAGGAGTAGAAATGCCTTTCAATTGCATTCAGCATCCTTCACCTAACCAAGTGAAAGCTCGTTGACGTACACTGGACATTTCTGTGAAAGGAGACTTGGGAAACTTCAATTGCATAAAAAAAAATCTAGGCTGCAACACAAGAATGCAATGGCTACAGCTTGCACGTGGTATGAAAGAGACTTTAACCCACACTACACACTGGCAATGCAGTGTGGCATATTGCATCATAGTGCCAAGACTATTGACATTCAACAGGAATACCTTATTTCTCGTTTTTGTGAAACTTTATTTCAAATCATAAAAAATGTAAAGTCATCAACAGGAACACATTTTACATTTGGCAGTTGGAGGGAGTAGACGCAAGGTGCACCTAGCCTGGCACAAGCACCGTGGGGGGTGGCCAGCGGCGGCCGTTGTCTGTGTGTGTCTATTGATCAGTTCAAAAACACCGTGGCACACGTGGGAGTGTGCGCAACATCTGGCTGCAAAGCATATTGGGAGCTGGTTATGTCGAGGTTATTTCTTTATCCAAAGGACTCCTCATTCGTTCAAATGAATTAAGCCGTCTCGGAGAAGTGATCTGGGCTCACAAACACGTATAAATATCAGCTGCATGGATAAAGATAAGCTCTGACACAAGTAAGCAATTGCCAGAGGTTGAAAATTGAGCATGCTATGGCCAATGCATCGATCAAAATCGATTTTTACACCCTCAATCGTGCATGCAAGAATCGACTACTTTGGATTCGTGGAAACGAAAAGCTCATATTACAATGAGGCTAACGGAGCGAACGAAACCGTACAAAAACGAGACCAACCAAAATTAAAAATAGACAGCAATTGTGAATCCCACTCGTGGCCCTAAGAGATAGTGGGCACAAGTTTACACAGACCCCTAGACTCGCAGATAGCCCGAGACTCGCACAGACACCTGTCGGTCCTAGACTTATAGAGGACATGAGGCCACGATGTGTTCCACTATTTGTTGCGGTGATTGGAGCAGATAATAAACGTGAACCAGACCCATGTTGCTGCAGCAAGGCAGCCACCACGAGACACATTCTTTAAGGCCACGGAGCTCTGCCGACACCACACGTGACAGTCGGGGGTGCTCCAGTGGTTTATAAAGATAATACTAGAAAACTAAAAATACTTAAATATCTTAAGCATTTTATGTTCAAACATTCATTCTATGAAATTTAATTATAAAACTTGGGTTCACCAACTAAAGATAAGGGATACTTACAATGCAATGATTAATGCCAAGAAGAGGTTTGAATATGTATAATTTAAATAGATTATTCAGTTTGATTCATGTTTCAAAAGTTGGTGCAACATTTAATGGTTTTTCATATACCACCAAGTGAATAAAGAATTGCCTCTTGAACCATATCATGATCCGGAATCATGACAAGTCATTGAGCCGCGTGTGGACGAGGTGGTGGGGGAGAAATGATGGATTCTGTGGGGGTTATGCACATCGACACATTGCTCTAAAATCGGATCAATCCTCCTTCCGTAAATCACGTGACTTGTGTGTGGCCACCCCCACTCTGTACTTCTCCCCTCCCCCCGAGAAAACAGACGCTGCTCCGTGCAGCTCACCACTGCTCGCTCCTTCTCTCTCCCCCTCTTCCTTCCCCTCTCCGTCATAATCATCATCACTCTCTCTCATCCGACATCTTGCGACGGTCATTACTTCTCCTACTCCCCGTGAGCCATGCTCTCTGCTCTGTTCGTCTTGGGGACTCCCATACCGGCCTCCCTTCCCCACTCATCCTGCACCACCTCCACCCCCTGCTGCCCTCGAATGCAAAAGACTCCCCTTCACTTTCCCTGGTGCGGGGCCATGGGTATAAAAAGTTCTAACAAGATTATTTGCTGAAGAGGAGTTTGTTTTCTTTGCGAATTTATTTCCGAGAGAGAAGGGAGTGAGGGGTAGATGTCCACAGGGAGAGAGACAGGAATGCCTTACTGCATACAATCACGAGGATAATTAAAATGCTCAATGATTTTGACTGCTTCCCGACTTGCTACTCATGTTTGTTTTTATACGCACACCAAGGCATGACAGTTTAATAACAACAATACAAATGTAGAGCCTTTGGTGTATCAACTGCTTGATGAAGGCCTCCTCTCCACACCAGTTGGGTCACCACGCTGGTTCATGCGGGTTGGTGAAGTTGGGGGGAGGGGAGGAGGCCTCGGAACAGTTCAGATATTAATTGCCACTGATGTTAGCCGTGACATTTAATTTAGGCTAATCGGGTTCATAAGCTACAACGCGCTAACCCGCTGCGCCATGGTTCCATCCTAAATAATAAATAAACAGGTGTTTTTTTTCTCTACACAGAGGCA